CAAGAAGGAAACTAAATATATCAAAGTCCTAATAAACTAGAATGTCTTGATCTTGCTTGGCTTGCACTCCAAACAATTCCAAGTCTTTTGCACGCCACAAAACCGCCTCACGCGGACCGCCTTCGCGTGCCGCCCACGGTTTCCCTATTCCTTGGCGCGCGAGGCATCGCGCGCCTTGCCTCTGCCACACGCGCACCGCCCGGGCGCGCTCCCCGTTCGTGCCGCCTTCACCTGCGCGTGCATCCCCCCGCTGGTGTCGCCTAATCTTGCCCCGCCTAGGACTCCTGGGAGTTGGCTTTCTACGCGCGCGCTTACCGCGCCCGCCAATTGCTCTCGCGCTGTTTGGCGCGTCCTCGCCCATCGCGCGCTTGTCGCGCACGCCGCCCGCCTCCGTTCTGTTCGCGCCGTGTCTCCGCTCCCCGCGTGTTGTGCCCAGCACTCCTATTCCTACTCAGCCGTGGTCCTCGCCCATGCCCCAATCTCCTACCACGCCCCCGCGTGCTCCCGACGCTACCTCGCGTACTCCTCGTTCTCCCGGCGCACCTCGCTCGTCTAGCAACCCCTCTGCGCGCCCGTTCGCGCTCGCCCATCTACCGCAGTCCCTCGCGCGCATCAACCACCCAACATCCACCCCTTGTGCGCCACTTCGCCAAACTATCAAGCGTCATGCGCGTCTACGCCAATGCGCGTGTGCGCGCCCTTCTTGAATGCGCCCTTTCTTGTGTACTTATGCGCCTCGCATACGAGCTCGTACCCGTCTCTTAGGCCATGCGTGCGTAGTTTTGGCCCTATTTTCAGCCTCCTCGGGTTGTCTTGGCTCTCGGCCCTTCTTGTCATCGGGGGTCAAAACCCACTTACGCATCACTGACTGCCGGCGCACTACTACCGCTGCGTGCGGGCAGCGCGGCCACGGCCGGGCCTTGCCGGCCGTCCGGCAACAACTGTCGAACAATCGAACTTTAAATGGCATAACATGAACATAAAGACTGATTTAATCTGAAAACATGAATTTTGCACGATTTAACTGAACATGGCCGTGGCGAGCGCACCACGCACCGCCGACGGCGTTAGGCCGTCTCCCGGCTGAACCTGCTTATTCTCTCGACAACAACTTCAATACTGAACATGAGATGACATTTAATGAATAAATGGACATGAAACGCTCGATGATTTGATACTTAACATAATTAGTCATGGTGCTCGGCCCGTGGGGCGCGCTACGTGCGCGACCACGTCCTCGGCCGAACCACCAAACAACATGAACATTTATCGAGCAACACAATATAACTGAACATGATATTGAATAAAAAGGTTGATTATATAACAACTACTTGAGAGTTTGATGATCCATACATTAACATGATTAACCTAGGCCCTACGCACGTCCATCTCGACTACAACGCTAACCCTCAAGCATGATCGAACAACTAACTAGGACATGATCTTATTAACTAAAAAATATAGTAAACTAAAGCTACCTGTTCGACCTCTTGACTTATCGCTACTGCTGCTCGGAACCACCGGAACCTCCGTGCGTGCTAAGCTATGCTCTAGGCGTGGGGTACTTTCTCCTCCAAATCTCACTAACTCTCTTATGTAGTATGGAAGGACTTACCTATATACCCCTTTATATAATAAACCGAATGGTAGGAAAAATCTTAGGGATGATGAGGTGCTTTGATGTCTCAACCTTGGCTTGACACTTGTAAGCTAGCTAAAGGTCTTGAGGATGACTAAGCACCCATCTATTGGCCACCTCATGCTAAAGTCAAAAAGGAAGAAAGTAGCTCCCTTCCCCTTGAAGAAAGCCCACGGCTTTTGAAAAAAATTGGACAAAATATAGCTACGACTTTTTGCTTAAATTGGAAGAACATACATAAGTTCTCACGCCTATTTATTCTTCAAGCATGATTAATTAGTCACTAATCATCATTTTATGCTTAATTAATTATTAAGCATAATACTTAATTAATTATTAAGCATAATACTTAATTATCAAAATTATTCCGAACGTAAACGGAACGTCGAAAATAATTTCGGGCAATCTCGACTGAAAATAATTAATTGCAAAAATAATACTCGAAAATATTATTATTTCAGAACTAAAAACATGATTTATATTAATAAACTGACGGGATATTACATTTTCTTTTCTCGAGTAGGATGAGATTTTTTCGGGGTTGAAGTCTTAATTTTCTGTTGATCATGTTGTGTTCTCGTAAAATTTGGACTTCTGTTTAATGATATCCTTAAGTCGATTTGAAGGGTTCCAGAGAGCGAATAATGTTGCAACTCTTGTGGAATACCTGGGCCTAGTGATAGGAGTAAATCAATCACCCCTTTTGTGAATGAATTGAGCGTCATGCCGGAGGGTCGTACGTGGAAGTCTCCGCCTACCTGAGCGAGAAGAGTTTCAACAAAATTCTATAAATGCTATGGATAAAAAGAAGTCTTTAAGGAGGGTAGAAACATCGTGAGTAATCAGCCAGTTGACTCATAATGAAGTATAAGTACACTGATAGCGAAGTCGGAGTACTTGGATTTTGTAGTTTGGACTAGGGTCGCAAAACACTAGGGGATTTCCAATCTTCGAGTACGTATCAACACGGGGTGACATAACGACCGATGAGGGATGAACTGTAGCTACTAGATGCGGGTGGTGCAGGTGTACTGCGTGTTGGTGCCGCGCACAGGCCTGCCACGCTCGGTGATGCATCTCGAGTTGTAGGAAGTGTCGTGCGTAGTGTGCCGCATGTAGCGTGCCGCGTTGCCGCATGCCAGGCCAGCCGTTCATGCCCCAGCTGTCGAGTCTCTAGCGTGTAAATGCATATCAAGTCTGGGAAGTTTTTACGTGTATTGTGTTGACCTAAGTCTTCTTTGCCAGGCCAGCCGTTCATGCCAGGCAGCTTTGGAGTTTTATTTATAGGAGTAGTTGTACTCGATTGTAATTTAGTTACTATGTGAAGTGAGGAGTTACGTGGTAACAGTAGAGGCTACGACCAGGTCATTTCAGTCATATCATGATCCTCGACAATGTCGATAGCATGGCCTGATGATTGACTCTGCCACTGGAACTTACAGGGATGCATGACACGTTATATGCCTCATGATGGAGGAATGTGTGCATGACCTCGAAGTACGTATGATTTGTGACGAGCTGCGTGCCAGGTAGAACCCTACCCGTATGGAGGTACTAGTGACCTATTGGAGCAGAAGGTCCATTAGGGAAAGGCCGGGAGGGGTATTCGTCAGAGTTCGGTGGGAGATGTCAAGTCGGGGGCGAGAAAACTTGGAAAAGAGGAGACCTAGAATCAGAGGGAGTATCAAATATCCTGTTTGGATATTCCTTTTGCATTCTAGTGCTTTCTTGATTTTTATTTTCGAATTCCGAGGACAGAATTCTTTGTAAGATGGATAGACTGTAATACACCGTTTGATTATGGATTATGGGATATTAATTTATTTGCATTATTGTTATTATTATTTATATTTAATGTCTAATTGCCTAATTGAGTATTGATGTTATTATTATTATTATTATTATTATTATTATTATTATTATTATTATTATTATTATTATTATTATTATTATTATTATTATTATTATTATTATTATTATTATTATTTGTGCGAAATGCCTAAATGTTATTAAATGTCTAAATGCATATTATTATTAATAAATAAATGTTATTTGTGTGTATGATTATTATATACTAATACTTATTGTGTATTATATATATATGTTCCGATTTTATTTTTTTGTACCGTTCGTTCGAACCGAGCCCGATGACCTGCAACCCCTTTCTCTTTGTCGTTTAGATCTGAGCAATGAAAGGTTAATTTTAGCTCTGATTAGCCCTTGACCGGCCATTATTGAGGGATCAAATAAATGTTCAATTTTTTTTTTTTTATTTTTTTTAACTCCCCATTTTGACCCATAATCTTTAACATTAAGGATCAAATTAAATTTCTTAATATCCTGCTTTAGTAAATTGAGAAAATTGATTTCCCGATCTCACCTTAACGCCTCCGTCCCCTTCACGTTTTTCAGCCCTATGAAATATTACATTCAGCTTTATGATTAATCAGTAGCCTCATTTTTGTTTGATATGAATAAAATAATTCTTACATATATTTTTTTTTTCAAACGACAAACAAATTCATTAAAACTCAAAGGAATATCCGGTAACCAAAAGGCTACAACCATACATCACTTACAGTAGCAATGAAATAGCACGAGCAAGGTAAAACCTAACCCTCAAGGCCACAGTCTATTACAAAGACATAAAGCCCAATCAGTCTTAACACAATATTTAAAAAATTGTACCAACATGGACCTGGCAAAAGTCCCTAATGACAGACAATGTAGAAGGCATGTTCTCCTTCAAGGCCAATCCCTTGTGAATTTCTTCCACCAATTCCTCAGAATGAAGCAACATGGAAAACTGATTGCAACCAGCATCTTTAGCTTTGTTCAAGCCCCAAGTCACAACCAACAACCACTCATCCTGCTCCTCTAATGTACCTTTCACCACTGTCTGCCACTGAAACAAAATGGCTCCTTGCTGGTACATAATGCCCTCCACAACCATCTCAGCATCATTATAAGGTGAAGCACTGAGAGTCATTGCTGACTTACCTACTTCCTTAA